GACCACACAAAGCATTAGCAGTAGTGGATGATTATAAATAATTTGACAGAAATCATCCAAATGCAGGCAGAAGATTTGATAGAATTTTTATACGCTGATTATCTGTTTTGAGTTAATGCTTATTAAAAGGGGATTAATCTGTATTCATATTTGAGGAACGGCTTATCAGAAAAGGGAAAAAGACTTGACTGGCAACATTAAAGTTTTCATTTGTAGTAGGAAAATGTGGCCTACTAGAGATAGCCACACAGAAGGCTTTCTTGCAGCAAAATGTCAGTTGTTTATTCTACTTTTTTAGTTATAGCCAGCATGAAGATTATGTTTAACCTTGCGATACAGTATGTATAAATAGTTTAACATGATAATATATATTTGAATACTATTTGTATAAGATTTCCTTCAATTTGCGTGTTTGCATTCTGCATCCTGTTTCTTTAGCTTTTGCATTACAGGTTAACAGGGATTCTATAACAAAAATCCATCCTGCACACTCAGTAAATCCCTATGTATTATCATATTTTAAGAAGTAGTTTTCTCCTTTACATTATGATTGCTTTTTGACATCACTTTATGAACATGTGTAAGATCCCTGAGTATGGAAAGAGCTTTTTCACATGCTCTTTGTGAAAATAGATGTAGAAACACAGATGGAATGTAGATAGAGAGGACATCTCCCCCCTTCTTTTGGTCCTGAAGATGTCTTGGCATTTTTAAATGCTGTAATTAAATTCAGGGATTTAGATCCTGAATTAAATCTGCTGCAATGATTATTTTCTTTTGCAGGCATGTCTGTACACATTGCAGTATACTATATTCAAATATGTTTCTATCAACTTTTCTTGGCTTGTTTTGGCAGTTGCAGAAATCATGCAGTAAACATGAAATCTGATATCAACAATTAATAGCTTAGTAGCCTAATAGAGAATAATTGTCCTTGCCTTCCTCTGAAACTGAGAGAATGTGACTTGTCCAAGCTCACTTATTGGGATTTGAACCCTGCTCTCCCAGTGTCTGGGACACAAATCACGACAGCCAAATGGCTCAAGTGGGTAGAACTAGTAGGTAGTTAATGCAACTCTCTCAGCTGTGCAACTTACCTTTAGAACGGTTATTGTTCAAGCACTTCTGAGAATCTCTTCTCAACCTAGAGCTCTGCAATAATTATTGCAAAGTTACAAATACTTCCTCATCTGTTTTGGACATGATACATGAGAAGATGGCTGCGTACTGTGTAGGCAGAAAAAACGAAATGCAAAGATACAGAATGGGGGACACCTGGCTTGAGAGCAGTACGTATGAAAAATATCTTGGAGTCCTCGTGGACACCAAGTTAAACATGAGCCAACAATGTGATGTGGCGGCAAAAAAAGCCAATGGGATTTTGGCCTGCATCAATAGGAGCATAGTGTCTAGATCTAGGGAAGTAATGCTACCCCTCTATTCCGCTTTGGTTAGACCACACCTGGAATATTGTGTCCAATTCTGGGCACCACAATTCAAGAGAGATATTGACAAGCTGGAATGTGTCCCGAGGAGGGCGACTAAAATGATCAAGGGTCTGGAGAACAAGCCCTATGAGGAGCGGCTTAAGGAGCTGGGCATGTTTAGCCTGAAGAAGAGAAGGCTGAGAGGAGATATGATAGCCATGTATAAATATGTGAGAGGAAGCCACAGGGAGGAGGGAGCAAGCTTGTTTTCTGCTTCCTTGGAGACTAGGACGCGGAACAATGGCTTCAAACTACAAGAGAGGAGATTCCATCTGAAAATGAGGAAGAACCTCCTGACTGTGAGAGTCGTTCAGCAGTGGAACTCTCTGCCCCGGAGTGTGGTGGAGGCTCCTTCTTTGGAAGCTTTTAAACAGAGGCTGGATGGCCATCTGTCAGGGGTGATTTGAATGCAATATTCCTGCTTCTTGGCAGGGGGTTGGACTGAATGGCCCATGAGGTCTCTTCCAACTCTTTGATTCTATGATTCTATACTCTTCAGAATCTCTTGGATCATAAAGATTACTTAGATTCCTTTCAGTCTGAGTTTCAGCCTTGATTTGGGATTGAATTTATTTTGATCACATTGACAGATTATCTTCTTGAAGGGGTGGATTAGTGGAGAGTGTGCCCAGTAGCTTCTCATAGGTTTCTTCATGGCTTTTGATACCATATTCTCCTGAACTAGATTTCTCAGATTAGGACACTGCATTGCATTGGTTCTGCAGGGCTGTTTCCATGGAGTGGCACTGTGTTTCTTCCCCAACAATTTCTAATATTTTGGAAGCAGAGTTTGGATAATTTGCCGTGCTGTGTCATCAACATACAGATGCTATTAGGCTTTATTTAGCTGTTATGTCAGAGTGTGCTTTGATTGAGCACAACCTGGTGTGGTGCCTGGATGTTGTGGTGGCCTACATGAAATCTAATCAGTTGAGCCTGATTCACTAAAAGACCAAACACTCCCATACAAATATCAACAGTTTGAGGAGATACTCTGTTTATTATTGTGCTGATATAGGAAGTTCCTTTTGATCACTTCCTGGTGTCTACTTCCTGGTGTCAACATAAAATCAAACCATTTAACATGACATACTCCTGATTTTCACTAATTATTAGTTTTATTTCATGTTCATGGTTTTAATTAACTGTTTTGTGTGTTTCATGGGTTTATTGTATTATTCTATTGTTTTAGCTACATTGTTGTTTCTTCTCCCCTCAGTTTTTACACAGATGTTCTTAATCTGACATCCAGAATTTCAGACATTGATCTTTTCAGATGTAGACACTTTTGACAATTCTCCTCCTTCTTTCCTGTACCTCATATTTCTTCTCTATAGTAATCATGAAACTTACCTCATCAGGTTTCAATGATATTTATTATTTGCTTTCTGTATTAAGTTTAAGTTCATCAGGTTTGTTTTTCATGCTCTTTGCTCTCGTATAGTGATGTCTAAGACCATGAACACCTAACTGCTTATTTAAGTTTTTTTCCTTCCTACTGTTGAGTTCTATTTTTCTATTACTTGCCCAACTGATCAATCTAGCTAGTATCTTTAGCACCTTATGAACTTCTGTCTCCCTCTCCAACATATGTTGAATTAAAGTAGTCTTGAATCAATTTTTGAGAGTCTTTACAAAAAAAATGTCTTGCCAGCTGCTGAGTGGTGCATCACTTGTCAGAAGTCCAAAATAATATTCCAAAATAGATAAATACCTTTGCAAGCTTGACAGACTGTTGTGAAGAGAACTGGGGAAAATAATGTCAGCCAACACAGTTGCAAGTCATTTAATCTGAATCTGGCCCTTTCTTTATTAATCTACTTTGAAACAATGTTATTTTTATTAATATAAAATGCATTGTAATAGGGAAATGAAAGAAGACAAAGTTTAAAAAGTAGGTGGATCAAATGTAGTTTTTACTTATGCATTTCTAACCATGCCATCTGCGAACAAATAAGTATACTGGTATCTTTTTTCAGCACATTACTGTAAAACTGAATAACTTAACAAATTGTTGAAGTTGCTGAAGTTGTTTGGTATTGTGTTAAAAAGTAACACAATAGTGAGGTATTTGTGAATGTCATACAAAACATAATTGCCAAACAATTGTATTTGCATAAATTCACTACTGAATAGGTATAGTAAACCATTTGAGACATGCCTATTGTCATTTTCCAGCAACAATAATTTCCCAGGTGGTAGTAATGAGCAATTAATCATCAGTTCCTAATTTCATTCTATATGAAGTCCCAAAGGGATTATCTTTGTCTTCATTGTGCATTGTGAAGCCACTTGTGGAACCGATAACATGGCAAACAATGCAATATATCACCAGAAGACTACAGATATCCAGCTTTACATGCCACCATCTGTGTTAATCACAGCATTTTCATCTTCCATTTCATATATCTATACAGTTGTTTGACAGAGATTGGGGAGCATATGGCAAGAACACCTGCTTTCTGCTATAATTTATAAGTATGTATATAACAATGGACTATAATTTTATGAAGTTTATGGAAAAACCTATAAGTAAAAAAGCTTCTGGTTTTCCTAAGGTAGCTGGAAATTTTAACTGCTAGCTTAAATATTAACTTCCATTGTATACCTATGATTTTGGTCTGTGGTAGAAAGGGGCATTATCTATGCATAAACTTAAATTGTGCCTTGTGATGCTTGAAATAATAGGGCCTGAATTCAAATCCCCTCTAATCTATTACATTGGCTGATATTAAAATGGACTCTTATCTTTCATCTAAATCTACTTCACAGATTTTTTGAAAATTTAGAAGCAAAATCCAGAAGGGTTCACATACAGTCTTTTTCTAGTTCTCTGTTTTCTTTGTCTGATTCAGTGGTTTACATAATCATCCTCATCCTTTCAGTACTGAAACTTTTCCAGGTGACAATTGTTTTTGGCCATCAAGTGTTTATTTGCTTTGTTCTAAGGCACTTCCCATGTGAATCAGATGGTGCTTTAATATAAAATGAGAATGTACTTGTATTTTTTGTTCCTTCTATTTCATTAACAAGCGTAGTAATATTAACCCCCCTTTTGTGATAACAAGCAGGTGCCTATAGGTGACCACCTGATGATTACTTCTGACAGTATTAACCTGCTAAAGAGAGTTTTAAAGAGACACTTTCATTTTAATGTAGATGGAGAAAAAGAAAGCCAGTACTATCAAATAAACTTTGAGCAATTGGGGGAATTTGGGCTTCTTGCTAATAATTTTTGGAATTCTTTCCCCCTCCCCACCACCACAAAAAAAAAGAAAAGAAACCCAAACCCATTCATATCAAGAGATCAGAAATAAAGTTTTCCTGTAAGAATGTGGCTATAAGAGGTGGTTTTAATTTTATATTGTGTAGCAATAAATCAAAAAATATAGCCATATATATTTATTGTTTATATTTAGATTATTTAATGTATAATCTAATATGGTCTGATGTAAATGACACAATATGCCTAATGGACTTTTCATATTCTTTTGTATTTAAAATCCAAAACAGTTACTTTCCAAAGAGGAGATGGAGGACTTATGAGCAATGGAAGGTATGCATGCAGGTCTTTTTAAATCACTTTCATATTGGGCCATATTAAAGGCCCACCACATTTAATTTTTGATTAGAGACTTTAAAAAGTATCATGCAATCAGTTGTGGGACTGACAATTCTAGGAGGAATTAAATGACTCAAACCAGATTTTAATGATCTGTTTTACACTTGAGGGGAATCAGATCCAGATGTTTCATATCTCCCAGATGCCTGAGATGAAATTAGTTGGAAATTTCAGAAGGAACGTGTTCATTTGTTTTCAGGATGTTTAGTGTATTAATTAGGCATTAGTAAATGAAGTTGCTGTTGTTTAAGACTCCTTATTGGCTCCTACAAAATTGCTATGAGTGAACAATTACATACAATCGATCACAAAATGAATGATTCATGGAAGATGAATAGGTTGTAGATAAGACTGGATTCTACAACTTTGGCTACTCAATTGAAATTGATAAAAGTTGATAACAGACCCATACATCCTCATTTATTTTCTCTGTGCCAATATTGAGATTGTAATTAGGTTCTGGTAATAACTTCCAATCTCCTATTTAATCAATATTTTAGCAAAAAAGAGATTAGGTCTAATGAGAGTTCAGAGATGTGGTAGGAATACTGCTGGATCTTCTTGCTATTGTTTCCATAGAAACCCATGTTTCTCTTGTGGATTATAATAGATTCATGGGGGAAGCGTGAAATACAGTAGTTAAAAATGCTAAATAAGGTCATAGGAAGAACTATTTTGGATCAGACAAAAGTCTTGCATAGTTCAGTAGTCTGTCTCTAATGGTTGAAATATTTTTAAATGAGCCACTAATCAAAGACAGCTTCAGATTAATTTGTTTCATACTTGTTTTTCTAACTTTCTCATATCTTTCTCATAAATTTGGGAGCTATATTCTTTGACTTATAGTAAACATTAAAATACATTCAATCTTCACTTGTTCTCAAAATCTAAAATTAAATTATATGAACCTGAAAGCCTGTTGAGACAGATAAAAATGTTCTTTTGAACTTTCTATTAATCCCACTCAAGCCGGCTTGCCTCTAAAACCATGCAAGAGTGCTCAAAGGAAGAGCTAGCAGCTTGAAGATGACAGACAGGCATTTGGGATGCAGGAAGTGAAGGAATAGTCGCTCAGAGTCCTGGAAATGGCTGATACAGAACAGTCACTTTGACTGATTGTTCCCTTGAGGTGGCAATTTATCATTCATCCCTAGTTTAGGATCCTTCAATACTGCATCTTCTTCATTGTTTTCCAGAGAGACAAGAAAGTAGCAGATTTTTACTGATGCTGCCTCCCATTTCCATAGACAATACATCTGATTTACCGTATGTCAAGCTCCATAACTAATGAAACTTTTTATCTATATAATTTTAACAATTTTATTATTAAATCAGTTTTAAAATCTCAAGCTGCTGTACATTGTGTTGAAAAACAGGAATAAATTCTCTTCAAAAAGAACTGAAAGGAAATTCTGACAGATGTATTTCCTTGTTGATTTTCTTCAGTCGACCGGGCCTGTTAAATGCAAGTGACCCCAGTTATCCTTGGCTTGCGGATTCTTGGCCAGCCACCAGCCTTCCAGTAAATAACAGCACCAGTGGACCAAATGATCTTGGGAATTTCGGGCGTGGAGGTACGTTCATTTGTGGTGTTTTGAAAAAAATGCCTATGCTATGCAGACCAGAATATGACTGGCTTTGCTCCAATATATATATATATATATATATATATATATATATATATATATATATATATATGAAAATAAAGCTGAAAAACAGTAAGTCAAAAAGAACAATTAAATAATATTACTAATTGAGATGAAAAGTGATATGCATTGGATTTTTATAGACAGGTATCCATACTTCTTGAAAATGTTGCTGTTGTTTTTCTTCCTGTTGTTTCTTCTATCCCCACCTTTTCCCAGATTGTGAATTGCCATTTGGTATTTAGAACTTTTTAAAAGCTGTGGCAGAAGTTCTAAGACAAACAAATGCCTAAATTCAACATAACAGAGCTCCATTGTTGTTGTTTTTTTCTAGTTGAACAACTTGAATCATTTTTTTCCTGGGGTCCCTGTGCATGCTACTATTTGTGCACCAACTGCTTCTGCAACAATTTTGATTGCCCCTTAACCCCCGAAATAACGAGACAAACACAAACGTATGGATTCAAATTGGGCAACTTTTATTGAATGTTACCTATTTAACTTTACCTGAACTAAACTAA